GTATTTCATATATTTATCAGAAACAAAGCAACTTTTTATGTTTTTCATCCAAAAACTTTGTTTTGATAAACAGATGTTTTCTGATAAATAAATAAAAAAATAAAACAAACAAACAAAAAATCAGCTAAAAACAGTTCACAATTCTGAGTTTTGTGACTTGTACCTAAGTTTTTCTTGTGATAAAAACATATTTTAAAAGAATACTAAAGAAAATGCGTTTCCTGCGGAAGTGCTGGTGTGAATGTTTCTTGCTGAAAAKWTAAACTGAACACCGCTGAAACTGAGCTGAAAATATTTAAAAGTGAAAGTTTTAATGGAACTTAACTAGATGAACGAAGCAAAAAAACCTAACTCTGCAGAAACACAGTAAAAAAGAGCAAAAGTATAGCTGAAAAGGCAGAAGATAACTCAAACCTAAAATAGCTAAATAAAGCAGAAAACATCTGTAAAAAGCATAAATACCACAATATCACAGAAGACAGCAAAATAATAGCAAAAAAGCTAAAATTAGCATGAAGTGAGCTACAGTAAATATAACAGCCACAAGTTTTAATTAGCAATGAAATAGTGAAATAAATTTAAAATTAGCAGAAAAAAATGCATAAAGTATAAAAAGGGACAATTTACAGTTAAATGGCCAAAATTTTAAGTAAAACAGCTAAAAAGTAGCTGGAAATTCTTTATTACCATAATGAAGCATAAGGAGCAAGGTTGCAGAACTTAGCAGAAAAACATTATAATAGCTAAAAAAAAAACTGTGTATTTAGCTTAAAAAAGCTAACCTTAGCTAATAACACCTGAAAATTTGCTAAAATTGCAGCAAATACATGAAAATGACAGAAGGCACCTGTAACAAGCAGAATTAGCACAAATAGTAGAAAAAAACAGAAAAACAGAAGCTGAAATTTACTGAAATAGCAGAAAAAAGCTAAAAAAGCTAAAAAAAAAAACAGAAAAAATTAGGACAAGGAAGTTAAATTTGGTATGCTTGTTTGTCTTTGTGTCTATGGTGTATAATGATGTGATTGTGATGCTGTAATTCTGAGTGTTTTATGTGCTGCAGAACAGGAACCTGCTGTAAAACAGCAATTATGCTGAGTCAGGCTTGATTTTTAGTAATCTTTTCCTGTTGGAAGAAAAACAGAGCAGTACCAGAACAAAACAAATAAGATTCTGCAAAGATTTATAAATATTTTAAAGGATTTTAAGGATGTTGAAAACAGCTCCATTCATTTTCAAAGGCAAAAACGTGGCTAAAAAACTGAAATATAGCTGAAAAAGTAAAAATAGCTGAAATACCAAAAGTCATAGCAGGATTGTCATAAATGAGTTGAACGTTTTGATATATGAATTGCTGAAACAGCACAAAAATTGTGAAAAGGGTTAGATGATGAAAAACATATGTAAGAAAAAAATGATCTCTAAAACTAAATACAACATGATAAGGTGAGAAATGACAGGAAAAGAAAAAACAAAGCAGACTCACCTCATGATGTGGCAAACAGAAAGTGGGGAAGGAAAGTCTTGGAACATAAATATCAGAGGGTTTAATGTGTGTGTGTGTGTGTGTGTGTGTGTGTGTGTGTGTGTGTGTGTGTGTGTGTGTGTGTGTGTTTACGTTCAGTTCAGTTGCATGTGAGATTACATCTGATGGATTTATGGTCCATGCTGTCAGCGGTCACATTAACACTAGCTTTCATTAATCTGTCCCTGTCTGCAGATGATGCCGATGTGAGAATTTGTTTTAATCTTTAGTGATTCGTTATATAAAAAACATGATTGTGACATTTTAAAGTTTTTTTTTCCCAAGTGTATGTGYTCATACTGAAAACTAGGGATGCATAGATGTGAAAATTTTAGCCTATTGATATCCGCTATTGCTGTTTTGGCCGATAACCGATATTTACACAAACGCATTTGTGTCTTTTTTTTGATACCATAAATAAATGACCAGACTGCTGACATGGCTCTCTGCTTCAGTGATTCCTGGCTGTGCAACATCATGATCAAACAGAAACACCCGACCAACACTGTCCCCTCCCAAAACAGAAACACAAAGCTAAAAAGTGGYAAATCAATATCGGACGTTAATATCGGCCCAGTTTTACTRATCGGGRCGATACCGATGTRAGAGCTGTTTTTTTATTTTGGGTCTTCATGCATGTGGGAAGAGTTCACTGCATATATTATGATCTCACACTTTGTTTAAAGGAGGCTGTGTCCAAATTCAGAGGCTGMGTCCTCCGAAGGCCAATTTGTCATCCGCTGACGTCACAGCGCCGCGCCGGAGGCTGTCCAAACTCAAAGACTCCTCGATGCGGCCGACAAACGCGTTCTCCGTTTTTCCTAATTTGAGGGACGGGTTCGATGGATCCTTCTCGGTTCACCGTATCCCATAATGCATTGCAGGCTGACCGCAGATTTTTATTTGTTTTGCTCATAATTGCGGACGAAGTGAGAGAAAGGAGTACAGTTTAATTTTTTTTATTTTAAGTTTCAAGCGGTTGTGTTGTTAAGGCTTTTGTCATTTGTATAGACATGTTTTTAATATTATATTTGTCAGAAATCAAACAAGCTGGTACAGTGAAATAAATGTACGGCAGGTCCATTATTTCTTTAAACATTGCCTTTAAGGTAATTTTGTTGTTTTATGATATAATACTAATATTTTTGTATTTAGCAAATTTTCTATCTACTTTTGCTGCTGTTTGGCGTTGTCGCGGTTCCCAGGCCACAGGACATACACTGGGATWAGGACCGGAATAAAACTGAAAACTAGACCGTTTAAATTCACAACCACTTTTTTCTGGTCTTCGCAGTCGACCAAGGACCTGACTCACCTAGACTGGGTAGGCCGGATCCTTTGAAGGACCCAGCCACTGAATTTGGACACAATCAAAGTCTGATAAAAAAAGATGAATTAAATGTGATGTGTAAAAGCTAACTGGGATGAAAGTATTTGTAAATTTTAAATAGAACATTCTTTGAATTCAAACAAACATGAGCTTTATTATCTTATTTTTGGTACTTATTGTTGTAATATTGAAT